TGTGAGGAAGATCAGCCCTGAGCTAACATCCATGCCAATCCTCCTCTTTTTTTGCTGAGGAAGACTGGCCCTGAGCTAACATCCAGCCGATCTTCCTTCACTCTATGTGGGACGCCGCCTCAGCATGGCCTGACAAGCGGTGTGTTGGTGCGCGCCCAAGATCCGAACCCAGGCTGCCAGTAGCGGAGCACACACTTAACTGCTATGCCACAGGGCCGGCCTCTATGAATTCTTTATGTATCCTGGATACTAGTCCCTTATTAGATGATTTACAAATATTTTCTTCCATTTCTTGGGTTGTCTTTTCACTGTCTTGATGGTGTCTTTTGCAGAATAAAATTTTTAAATTTTGATGAAGTCCATTTTATCTATTTTTTCTTTTGTTAGTTGCTTTTGGTGTTATATCTAAGAAACCGTTGCCTAATCCAAAATGACAAAGATTTGCTCCTTTGTCGTCTTCTAAGAGTTTTATAGGTTTGGCTTTTTCGTAATCACTAAGTTCTTATACTGACTGAGGCTTTAAAAGTTCCTATTAGCTATTTTCTAGGGGTAAGGGCTGGGTGGGAGGCTGTTATCCTGTGCTTCTTTTCCTTGCCATCTTCACAAGTCATTACAGGACCTAGATCCTGGGAGCCCTTGCTCTTCTTGCAGGTATATCTATCTAGCTATTCTGCAGTTTCTGTATTTCATTGTCTTTTTTTGTTTGAAGGTAACAAATGAAGAGGACTTCATTAGGAAACTAGACTGCAAACCTGATCAGCATCTGAAGGTGGTTTCCATTTTCGGAAACACTGGTGATGGAAAGTCTCATACCCTCAACCACACTTTCTTTTATGGCCGTGAAGTCTTCAAGACCTCCCCTGCCCAGGAGTCCTGCACTGTGGGCGTGTGGGCGGCGTATGACCCAGTCCACAAAGTGGCAGTGATAGACACGGAAGGACTCTTGGGGGCTACGGTGAATATAAGCCAGAGAACACGGCTGCTGCTTAAAGTCCTGGCCATCTCAGACCTCGTCATTTATCGAACTCATGCGGACAGGCTGCATAATGACCTCTTCAAGTTTCTTGGGGACGCCTCAGAAGCTTATCTGAAGCACTTCACCAAGGAGCTCAAGGCTACCACTGCCCGCTGTGGCCTGGATGTCCCTTTGTCCACCCTGGGCCCTGCCGTTATCATTTTCCATGAGACTGTGCACACACAACTGCTGGGCTCTGGTGAGTAGACAGGGTCCTGTGGTCACAGAGTGACCTTTCTGGGTACAAGGGGGCGGCCATTGGGCTGCAATAGCAACTTGGTGGTGGTTGGTTGCCTGGAAAAATTTCTGCCTGAGCAAGACATAAGGGAGTGTTTGAAGAGGGGTGGAGTGATCAGCCATGTCAAAATCTGCTCATGGTCAGGATGAGGATTGAGAATTGCCAATTGGCTTTGACAATATGGATGTCCTTGGCAATCTGGATAAGACCTGTTTCCTAGGGATGGTAGGCATGAACACCTGGTCCGAGTGGGATCACGAAAGAAGAGGAGGAGAAGAATTAGGTAATGAGTATATTCAGCTCTTTCAAAGAGTTCTGCTATAAGGGAAGCAGACAAATGAAATGATAGCTGGAGGCTGATGTGGGGTTTCAAGGAATTTTCCCTTTTTTAAATTTAAGATGTGAGATATTGCAGATACTTGTGGACTGATGGGAATGTTCCTCTAGAAAGGGAGTGATGCAGATGTAAGAGAGAGAGAAGGAACAGTTGGAGTGATGCACAAGTGGACAGGTTGGCTTTAGTTAGGGGCATGGACGGTTCATCCTAAACAACAGGAGAGGAGGTAGGGTGTATGGACATGGTTGTAGGTAAGTAGGTAGATGTGGGGTGTGTGTGTGTGTGTGTGTAAGTTGTCTTACTGTTTCTGTTTTCTTAGAGAAATAGGAAGCAACATCATCACCTGAGCGGGAGGATGAGGGAGCAGGTGCAACACTAGTAATTGGATGCAGACGAGGACAGTAGTGTTGGCCCCTAAAATAGTTACACCATTTACGTGTTCATTCAGTCAACCAAGTTTATTACATGCACTATATCATGTGCTGAGTACTGGGGTGCTGAGCTGAAAAAAACAATTGCCACCCTTGAATAGCTCACAGTCTAGTTGGGAGACCACGTGTGTTCTGTTCTGTAGTGGATGTAGGTATTGGAGCTGTGGGGGTGCAAAAGAGGGACACTTTACACCTCCTAATGGGATCTAGGAAAGAGGAGGTGATATTTGAACTCTAGAGACTTGGCTCCATAGAGGAGGGGAGGAAGGATGCCCTAGGAAGAGCAAACACCTAGTGGTTCGAAGGAGCAAATTGTGTCCAGGGAACTGCAGGTAGTTCTGCAGTAGCTTCCTAAATTCCATTCTAGCCTCCTTCAATGCTTCCTCCATACAGCATCCAGAGTGATCTTTTTAAAAGCTTAATTTGTGATTTAGATCATGTCATACTCCTGCTTACAACCTGTCAATGGTTTTCCACTACCTCAAAATCAAATCCAAACTCCTGTTTGTGGTGTCCTCACTCTGACTCCTGCCTGTGTCTCTGAACTCCTTCTCTAGTTATCCCCCTTCCTCCCCTCCCACCTCCCCTGTATGTGTTCACGCCTTCCACTAGCCATACTGGCCTTCTCTCTGTTCCCACCTTTGCATATGCTACTCTGTCTGCCTGGAATGCTCTTGCCCCAGGTAGCCGTACTTTTTTCAGATTCAACTCAACTCTCACCTCCTTGGAGCCTTTCCTGACTGTCCCCTGTAAAGTGGTCCTTTCTGTGCCCTAATGCCTACCCTCTCATCACATCACCTGTTCATTTGCATCAGGGCACCTTTCACTATCTGAAATCTTCCTGTATGTTTGCTTTCTTGTTTTTGGTCTTTTCCCACTAGAATGGAAACTCCCTGAAGGCAGGAATCTTGCTATATCTAAAGAGCCTGGATGAGTGCTTGACACACAGTAGGCTCTCATCAGATGTTTGCTGAATGAATAAATGAAGAGGCTTAGTGTGTCTGAAGCATAGGTTGTGTGGGAGGGAATGGTGGAGATACTCGGGGATCAGATCATGGATTGCCTTGACTTAATTCTCAAGTATGACAGGAGCCCCTGAAGGATTTTAAGCAAGGAGTTATATGATCAGATCTATATTTTCAAAAGATGCCCTGGCAGCCTGTTGCAAGATGAACCAGAGAGGCATGCCTGGAGGTGGGGAGACCGGCCAGGAGGTTAGCATGGTACTGGGTGAGGAGTGATGGGGCCTGAGTCAGGGCAGTGGCAGTAGGAGGGAAGTGGGGCTATATTAAGGAGTTAGAATCTGAAGGCCCTGGGTCTAGTGGAAAGGTGAGAAATCTAAATGTTCCAGAATGAAAGAAGAGACTCAGTAGCCAGTGGCTCTAGAGTGAGGAGAGAAGGTTGGAAATGTTGGCTTGAGGATGCCTCCTGTAATCAGCATTCTTATACCCCTTTGGATCTTTATAACTTTGGTGAGGGGAAGGTTTAATTTCCGGTTCAGGATTTTGAAATAACCAGGCCTTCAAAAATAACTTTGTTTGCTTTGTGCCTTGCACTGTGGTAGGTGGTTTTTTATTTATTTATTCGTTCATTCATTCATTCACTCATTATTTTTTGGTGAAAAAGACTAGCACTGAGCTAACATCCGTTGCCAATCCTCCTCTTTTTGCTGAGGAAGATTGGCCCTGGGCTAATATCTGTGCCCATCTTCCTCTATTTTATGTGGGATGCCTGCCACAGCATGGCTTGATAAGCGGTGCGTATGCCCGCACCTGGGATTCGAACCCTCAAGCCCTGGGCCGCCGAAGCAGAGCACGCGAACTTAACCACTACGCCATTGGGCTGGCCTCTCCCTTTTTTTTTTAAATAAATGCTGACTTACTATATCTTTGTTATTCAGCACAGTCAATAGCAGCCCTGTTTTACAGAAGAAGAAGCTGAACTCAGAGAGCTTAAGTTATGTAACCATGGAGGTTCCAGCTAGTAAGTTGCAAAATTGGGATTCAAAACAAGGTCCTCTGACTCCTAAATCCAGAGCTGTTTCTGGAATACCATTGCTGCTTCTTGAAACCTTGAAACGTGGAACCAAGGCAGCCAGAGTTTATGCAGGATAGAAGGAGAGGTGCCAGAATTGTGGGCAAATTGATAATTAGATTTTTCTCTGTCTCATAGACTTTCTGATTTTATTTGATCCTGTTCCTTTTCTGGCTAGAGGATTTCTAGGTGGAATTAGTAGGCAAATCAATTCTCTCTGTTTTACAAATGAGCAGAACCAAGCTCCCATAATCATTTGGGAGCAGTGATTCCATGTCCAGGGATGAGCTGTGAGAACATGTGGGGAGGAAGTGAAGGTGGTCAGGCTGCGCTCCTGGTGGCTTTGGGGAAGTCGCTCACTGATGGGCTGCCCCTAGGATACTGCCTGCTCCTTCCTTCAGAAGTTACTGCCACAGGGAAAGTTCAGGAGGAGATGAGGTTAGGGTGTGACTGCAGAATGTTGGCTACTTCTCTTGATGACTCTGTCTTTAAATTGGAGCTAATGCCATATCTCCGGTGTTAACTGGAGTGATTTTGTTGTTGTTAAAATATTAAAGGAATTTAAAATAAAAAGTCCTTCCAACTTCTACCTCAAAATATTTATTGAATCCATTTGTACTACCACTTCCCAAATTTCTGGATAAAGGTTGGTGAAACTATGGGGTCGCTAATACCCTCATACATTGGGAGTTTGTCCACAGCTTCACCAGCATAAGACCAGCATTTTCAAAGTAGCTATTTATTCTGAATATTCATTAGTAGGTAACTGGTTAAATATGTCCATAGGATGGAAGACTATGTAGCTATTAATTTTATTTATTTATTTATTTTTCCCCCAAAGCCCCAGTAGATAGTTGTATGGCATAGCTACACATCCTTCTGGTTGCTGTATGTGGGATGCGGCCTCAGCATGGCCGGAGAAGCGGTGCGTCGGTGCGCGCCTGGGATCCGAACCCGGGCCGCCAGCAGCGGAGTGTGTGCACTTAACCGCTAAGCCACGGGGCCGGCCCTATGTAGCTATTAAAAAGAATAAGAAACTTCTCAGAGTGTATCATGACAAGGACAGATACAGTATGTTATTAAGTGATAAAAGCAAATTTGCTTATGTGTGTTGGTAAGTGTGTAGGGGAAAAAAAGCCTGAAAGGGCAAACATTGAACCATAGTTACCTTTGGGGACTAGGAGGCAGCAGAGGACATACATTTCTTTTTTTTTATTTTTATTTTATTTTATTTTTTCCCCCAAAGCCCCAGTAGATAGTTGTATGTCATAGCTGCACATCCTTCTAGTTGCTGTACGTGGGACGTGGCCTCAGCATGGCCGGAGAAGCGGTGCGTCAGTGCACGCCTGGGATCCGAACCCGCGCCGCCAGCAGCGGAGCGCGCGCACTTAACCGCTAAGCCAGGGGGCCGGCCCCGACATACATTTCTTTCCTTTTATGTTTTGACAATTTGGATTTTTTACAATGAGCAGATTAAAAAAAGAGACTCTTCCTTGAAATATAATGTACATGCAGAAAAGCGCCCATCATATCAAAAGTGTATAATGTGATGCATTTTCACAACCTGCACGTACCCATGAAATCAGTACCAGATCAGGACACACCAGCACTCCCTCACAGAAGCCCTGCTCATGCTCCCTTCTAGGCAAGGGTAACCAGAATTCCAACAGCATAGACCAGTTCTGCCTGTTTATGTACTTTATATATGTGGAGTCAGAGTACGTATTACTTTTTTGATGAAAGACAGATGACTTTTTTTTTTTTAATTTTTTGTTTATTGCAGTAACAGTGGTTTATAAGAGTGTATAAATTTCAGATGTACATCATTATACTTCTGTTTCTGCATAGATTACATCATGTTCACCACCCAAATACTAATTACAACCCATCACCACACACATGTGCCGAATTATCCCTTTCACCCTCCTCCCTCCCCCCTTACCCTCTGGTAACCACCAATCCAATCTCAGTCTCTATGTGTTTGTTTATTGTTGTTATTATCTACTACTTATTGAAGGAAATCATACGGTATTTGACCTTCTCCCTCTGACTTATTTCACTTTGCATAATACCCTCAATGTCCATCCATGTTGTCACAAATGGCTGGATTTCATCGTTTCTTATGGCTGAGTAGTATTCCATTGTGTGTATATACCACATCTTCCTTATCCATTCGTCCCTTTATGGGCACTTAGGTTGCTTCCAAGTCTTGGCTATTGTGAATAACGCTGCAATGAACACAGGGGTGCATGTATCTTTACGCATTGGTGTTTTCAAGTTCTTTGGATAAATACCCAACAGTGGAATAGCTGGATCATATGGTAGTTCTATCCTTGATTTTTTGAGGAATCTCCATAATGTTTTCCATAGTGGCTGCACCAGTTTGCACTCCCACCAGCAGTGTATGAGAGTTCTTTTTTAAAAGAAAGGTCACAGTTCATGTGCCTATTTCTGCTTGTCCAGATCACCCCTCAGAGGTGCCAGAGAAGCTCATCCAGGACCGGTTCCGGAAGCTGGGCCGTTTCCCTGAAGCTTTCAGTTCCATTCACTACAAGGGAACAAGGACTTACAACCCTCCCACAGACTTCTCTGGGCTGCGGCGTGCTCTGGAGCAGCAACTCGAGAACAACACTACCCGATCTCCCCGGCACCCTGGCGTCATCTTCAAAGCCCTGAAGGTCAGTTGGCTCCTGCCCTGAGGGCCTCTCATTGGGGTACCGGTCGAGGGTGAGAACACTTAGTTCTCCAGCTTTTGTGGGTGCTGGTGATTGGAAACCAGGGCTGGAAAGAGAGGTTATAAGAAAGGGAAGTGCATGAGTGGAGTTTGCACCTGTTGAATGACCTCATCTTGCTAGGAGCACAAGTACAGAGGAGTCTTGGGTGATGGTTAAAAAGTGACAGGTCCTCATCTCGGAGAAAAACTAGGCTTTTAGGGGATAGGACAAAGCATTCATTTCTGGGTGTTGTGGCTCACCGTGGTGAGCTGACCTCATGTTTAAGCTCAGTTATCTAGACAGCTTTTGCTTGCCTTTATATGGACTCACTCCTTTTTTTTTTTAACTTAATTTATTCAAGAAGGAAACTTTTTTTGTTATCACTATAAATGGGAAACTAGTATCACAGGTAGAAATTTACCAAGACAAAAAACAAAAACAGACACATGATAACAGTAATTACTGTTTATTATGTACCAAAGTTCAAAGGACTGTATGTGGATTAGTTCATTTAATCCTATACCAACTCCAGGAGTTAAGTACTATTACCCTTCTCATTTTGCAGATGAGGAAACTGAGGCACAGAGAGATGAAGTAATTGGTTACACACAGTTACTGAGTGGCAGCAGGCATAAACTGTAGCCATTTTACTGCAGAGCTCCTCATAATCGCGAAGACTCTCCGGCCTCAACAAATAAAATGCATTATTTTCTCGCTAGGGACTTGCTCACAGAAGGTTCTGAGACTTGAAAAGAGAGATTAGCAAGTGTTCAGGAGATGATAATGATATACTGTTACCTAAGTGAGACTTTCTCCTTAACAGAATCTGAAATTTTGAAAAAGAATTTCCACTGTGGAATTGGGTGTTATTAAGTGTATCACCTACAATCGTATCCTCTGTCCCCTAAAATTCATCTTGTATATACCAGTGATGCCCACCTTTTGGGAAACTCTTCTCTAAGCATTGTATCTTTGTCCCTTAAAATAAGGTAAATTGTTTTTCTTGTGTATCCCAGCAGTAGTATCCATGTATTATTTTGATAATACAGTAAAATCCTGTTACAAAGCAGCTTGCCATTCCACAGATTCCACTGATGGATGCTCCTTGCTTCTTTGTCACAAAGAGAGCCTGCCACCTGGGTAGGCTGCTATCCCTTCAGCCATGACAGTTGCTGTGTAACCCATTTGAGGCCCTTGAGGATCAGTCTGTTGCCCCTTCTTTATCAAATAGCATCGTAGGCCTCACAGGTACCTGGGTAGGTGGGATCACTGTACTAGATATTGTCACCTCATTCCTACATTATGATAGCCATCAACAGGCAAGAAATCACTGGAGCAGTGCCATTGTTGGGGGGGACAGAAGGGGATAATTGAAAATTATGACTTGAGGTATTACTGATTATTGAAAATTGCCATTTTAGAATTGGTTAGGTAGTCTCAATGGAATTTTGATGTCTTATGCATTGCTCAGGGCATTCCCTGGGCCCAGTAAAGCTGGGGGAAGTTTTCCAGAAAGAAATTTAAAAGTTGTTGGTATCATTATGGGAATAAGAATTCTAATTTTTGGACAGTTTGTTCATTGATCCATTTATATTGCATTTGTCTAATTTCATATTGTCTGGTTTATATTACAAATACATGCTAAGTGTAGACTATGTGGATACGACAGTAGAGTATAACAGTGAAATCAAAGACCACCCGTCATCCCTCCACCTAGGCATAGCCATTGTTAGCAGTTTAATGTGTGCCCCTACAGTGTGTGTTCTGTGCATTAAAAAATATATAGCTTGTCCTTACATTATAGATGTAAATTTGTAATCCTTTCCCACGTAACATCGTAGACATATGGTCTTTACAAATAGTTTTGATAGCTGCACGTTAGTTCCTTGTCTAAATGTACCAAAATAACAATTGTTGGACAACAGATTTTTAGTAAATTTTCTCTATTATTAATAACACCACAACTAAATATCATAAAAGCTCTTTCTGTATTTGCAATTATTTTCCTAGGTTATATTCTCTTCAAGTAGAAGATTGTGTCAAAAGGGTGTGTGTATGTACACGTATATGTAAACAGTGAACATCTATTTCATTTCTATCATTTCACATAACTGGATATAGAATCCTATTTAAGTATTTTTGCATATTTGGTGTTTTGTTTCTCTTTTGCCTATTTTTAGTATTTCAAAGGTTTTACTTCAACACAATCTCTTATCTTTAATATGTACTTCTTTAATTTACCATTTTTTATAATGAATTCATCAAATTGATCACTGTGAATACTGCTTCCTTTTTGCGGTTTGCTTTGTGCGCACATCTGTGTTTCCATGCCTGCAGGCCTAGGGCAGAGGAGCAGGAAGGGAGCAGGGCCTTTGGGGCAGTGCTGGGTGTGTGGGATCTGGAGAGAGGGTGGGGAAATGTTGACAGGAAGATTGGAGCCAGGGATATGGGGATGCCCAGAGGATTAGAGGATAGAGACTGGGACTGGGAGGGATGGGAAGGAAGGGATAGGAGTAGGGGGTTTAGCTTAAAAGCTAGGCAGGCCCAGGTTTACAACTTCGGGCACACGCTGCTTTGCTTAATCCATTGAGTTTAAAAGGTTTGCAGTGGGGCATAACGTAAACAGTTAGTGAATCTGGGTAAATTGTATATGCGAGTTCCTTGTACCGTTCTTGCAGCTTTTCTACAAGTTTGAAATTATATCAAAATGAAAAGTTACCCCCCTAAAAAAGGTTTGTGATTGCTATAGGCTGAATGTTTGTGTTCTCCCCAAAATGTATATGTTGAAATCCTAATGCTCAATGTGATGGTGTTAGGAGGGCTTTTGGGAGGTGATTGGGTCATGATGATGAAGCCCTCGTGAATGAGATTAATGCCCTTACGAAAGAAGCTCCAGAGAGCTCCCTGGCCCCTTCCACCAAGTGAGGACGCAGTGAGAAGGTGCTAACTATGAACCAGAAAGCGGGTCCTCACCAGAACCTGACCGTGTGGCACCCTGGTCTTGGACTTCCAGTCTCCAGAACTGTGAGAATAAATTTCTGTTGTTCATAAGCTACCTGGTCTGTGGTATTGTGTTACAGCAGCCTGAACGGACTAAGACAGGGGTTCAAAGCTTGGGCTTTGGAGTCAGACTTGTATTGGAATCTCAGTTTTGCCACTTACCAGCTGCTTGGTTTGGGAAATTAGTTTATTTGTTCATTCATTCATTCAACAAATAAATGAGTGTATCTATGTGCCAGGTAGAGTTTGAGGTGCTAGAAATGTAGTGGAGAACAAGATAGACAAAAATCTCTGCCCTATGGTACTTCTTCAAACTTTTTTCCTCATCTGTAAAATAGGGTAATAATAGAATGTTCCTAATGAAGTTGAGGCAGGGATTAAATGAGACCAACATACTTTAAGAAACAGAATACTTGGTTTATGGTAACTGTTCGATAAGTGTTAACTGTTGTGAATAATATGAAGGAAAAACAACTTTGAGAAATGATTATATTTGAATAATTCGTGAAATAAATACTTCTAATTAGAATTGGAGGTTCAAGTGTACTTAGATGTGTACTGGCTCTTGTCCTTGTAATGGCTCAAAGGTAGACAAAGGGGGAGATTACACCCAAGTATTGCAAACATTCTCAAAAGAGGCTGAATCCATACACTGTTATACACAGGGCTGTAAATCTGAGGAGTGTGAATTTTGACGACTAGGCCAGTGGCTGGGTTCTAGAGTTCCTTAGGTTTTCTCAAAGCTAACCCAGCTTAATGTTCAAATGAGGCTGTCAGGGACACCGCGTGCTGTAAGCAGTGATTAGTGCTTAGGGATTTTACCTCAGGAGTCTCGGATGTCCTGCTCCAGGTCAGTTTGTTAGGCACTGTGGGGAAAAATAGTTACACTGTATTCCTCTGAGGTAATATAATTCATGAAGTTCTCTGTGATTAAAATGAGCGCGGTCAGCTGGAGTTCTGATGATCCTCGCCTGGACCCTGGATTTTTCTATTCTCGAGGTAGGGGCTGTGCTGTGCTGAGGTGTGGGACCTGCTGCTTCTCTCCATGGGAAGGAGTCATCTGTTTGAGCATGTGTTTTGGGCTCTCCGCAGGGAATGGTGGGGTTCTTGCAACTTACTCAAATCCTTGAAAAAATTGTTTCTGTCTTTTTTTGGTGGTGGTTTTGTTTTTAATCCTCTTCTTTAAATTAGAAGTTGCTGATTCTCTGGTTATTATTCTAATAAAAAACTGCTTTAAGGTCTACATTAGGCACAGTGACCCAGTAGAGTTTTATTGCTGTTAAAATACACTCTACCTGAAGTCTTCATAGGTCATGGCAGTGTATAATATAATAGCGGCCTGTTCTTCTCCACTTATTGTTTATTTTATGTTTTATTTATTTTTACAAATAGCCTTGAATCCTTTTTGGAACGAAAGAGTAGGGATGGACATAAACAGATAAATTATCAATGCCAAAATAACTTGTTTGGCTTCCTGTTTTTCCCATTTTTTCTTTCTCTCCCTGGTATTCTTTACCTTGTCCTGTTCCTCACTAACTCACTGAGCAGACACTTCGAGAAGGCTGGGGATATGTTCTAATATGATTTATATGATTTTTAAATAGATTTTCTCTTTATTTTAGGTTATAATGTACAGGAATATTTTCAGGAAAAAAATACAAACCTTTTGAGAAAAGGGAGAGGCAAATCACATAAGAGGTAATCAGAAACTGTGATGCACAAATAAAGAAATCTCAACTCTCTAGTAATCAAAGAAATGAAAATTAGAACCCCAACCATACAAGGGTAAACGTTGAAAAGTCTGGCAATAAAATGTCAAAAATGATTTGAAAGAATGTAAACTCTTATAAACTGCCAATTGAAGCTAAAATTAGTATAATCTCTTTGAAATGCTATTTAGAAATATCTAGTATAGATGAAGATATGCATACTATATATTCTAGCCATATCATTTCTAGGAATTT